CGGCCCCTTCGGCCACGTGGACGCGCGGGTCCCCATCGGGATCCGAACCCGCGTCCGTCCGCTCAGGCCCCGCGCCCAGGAGCAGGGCCTGCCCGATCCCCAGCCGCGGGGCCTCCGTGCCCTCCGGGGTCGCGGGGAGGTCGGCCGGTTACCCACACACACTTGTGCCCCGCCTCCATGTTCTGGAACGTCTTTGAGGATTTCTGCCTTAGTTTCCCTTACTGTGCCTCCTGCCCCTCGGGGTCAGGGTGTCACTGCCTCCAGGGGTCTCCTCCGGGGGCGCCCCGTCCCCCATCCCCGTCTCTGTGAACGCTGTTCCTTCCGCTTTTCGTTCTCCGCTACTCTTCCTGGGCTTTCCTGCTCATGTGCTCCCCGCGCCATCTGCCCAGTCCGAGCCCGCGGCCTGTCATCCTGCGCGCGGCCACCAGGGGGTGCGCGCCCGCCCCCCCCCCCCCGTGTGTCTCCCAGGCTCTCCGTGTCTGTCTGTCCTGTCTCTCTGGCTTCTGTCTCTGTGTGTGTCTCTCTGTGTTTCTCACACTCTCAGCATTGGCTCTGCCCCTCCGGCTCTTTCCTCTCTCTCCCCCCTCTCTTCTCAAGTCTCTCTGTGTCTGTCCTTTCTCGGTCGCTTTCTGGCTTTCTCTGTGTCTGTGTGTCTGTCTCAGCATTGACCTCTGCCCCCCTCCCGTCTGCCTGTCCGTCTGAACATTGGCCTCTGCCCCCCTCCTTGTCTGTCTCAGCATTGGCCTCAGCCCCTCCCCCCCTCCCCCGCCCTGTCGGTCTGTCCGTCCGAGCATTGGCCTCAGCCCTTCCCGGTCTCTCTCTGACTTGTCCCTGGTCTGTCTCCCTTTCTTCTGCGCCCTACTCTATTCCTCCCTCTCTCCACGCCTCCCAGAGTCTGTCTGTCCGTTAGTCCGTCTGTCTGGAGTGCGGCTTCCCATCCGGGCCTTGCCCGGAATCACTGGGACACGCGGCCCCCACGGCTCCCCGCAGCTCCCCTCAGCTTGGCCGGCTTTCGCCGGTCGCGCTCCCCTCTCTTCCTCTAGGGGAAGTGGGGGGGGGGGTTGTAGCCAGGGGCAACCACGTCCCAACCCGGACCTCAGGGTGCAGTGCATTCCGGGATTTGTAGTCTTGGTCCCCTCGTCAGCCCACCCTTGGGGTCGGACCAAGAACTTCCTCTCCCGGCGTGCCCCGCGCGGTGGGCGGGGCGCAGTGGCGGCGCGGGGCGAGGGTGCAGGGGCTTTGGATTGGGGTTCCAGAAGCCTAGCGAGGGAGGGAGGGAGTCCGCCCCTAGACACCCCACCCATCCAAGCATGGGGCGCAGGGGGCCCTGAAAAGTAGTGGGGACCTAGGAACTCCACTTGGCGCTTCCCCGGGGCCGGGGCTGCTAGTCCCGAGGCGCCCTGCAGGTGCCCAGCCCGGCCCACCGGATCGACGACTGAGGGGAGTAAAGCCAGCAACCCCTGGGGCTGGGATGAGAGGGGGAGCCGGGGAAGAAGACTGGATTTTGGAGAAAAGAGGCTGTTTCAGATGAAGGCCAAGATTGTCCACCCCCCCCCCTCCCGCCCTTCCAGCAGATTGAGGAATCTGAGTCTCACCTTCCATTTGTAAAGAAAGCACAAGTCTTCCTTTTACCTTTATATTGAGATTTACAAAAAGAACATTATTCGATGTGGGGAGGGAGCCAGGCTTCTAAAAATGAAAGCTATACCAGGGGTTAAAAAAATAATATATATACATTTTATAGGTGTCATGTTACGGCATATGAGTTCCAGAGCAGCAGGAAGCAGCAGCAAGAAGCAACTAGTACACACAGACACACGCGGGTGTGTGATACACTCAAGCTGTGACGGCAACGATCTGTGTCCCCACCTCCCACCCCAAAAAGAAAAGAAAAATTAAAAAGGACTTTCCTTCTTGAAAACTAGGGCTAGTCAGTAATTTCTGTCCTCACGACCAGGAGAAGAGAAGATCCTGATTCTTTCTTTTGGTCAGTCATGGGGCTTGAACTTGGAGCCTGGGCACTGTCCCTCAGCTCTTCAGCTCAAGGCGAGCGCTCTACCACTTGAGCCACAGCACCACTTCTGGTTTTCTTGTGGCTTATTGGAGATAAGAGTCTCATGGACATTCTTGTCCAGGCTGGCTTTGAACCGTGATTCTCAGATCTCAGCCTCCTGAGTAGCTAGGATGACAGTTACCAGCCACCGGCGCCCCGCCACGGCTGTGTTATTTCTAACACTGAGGCTGGAGAGGGCTTCCTGACCCCCACCAATACAGGACTATTTGGTTCTTTGCCAGGCTCCCTTTTATCTCCTTGATGATACTGGGGTTTGAACTGAGGTAGGTGTTCTATCATTGAGCCACACCTCCAGCCAGGCTTTTTAAAAATAGCACAGAGAAGAGTTGGGATAACAGGTACCCATATAGGATGGCCTCCAGGCAGTGGGTTTTTAGTAAGCCTGACAAAAATTCTGGTGCCAATTTCAGGCAAAGCTGAGGGCCAGGCCTGGTCTAAGGACTCAAGGTCTGTGCCTAAAGCTTCCAGACCTCTGAGAATTATTGACCTCACAGCGTTTTGTTTTTTAAACTTAAAGGGGAGATGCACTGTAAACCCTCCTCCAGTGGGAGAAAAGGCACCCACCCCTTGCTGCCCACCCCACCCACCCCTACACCACACGCTTACAGATACACACAAACTAAGGCACAGCTAGGGCAGGCAGGCATGCTTTGGCAATGAGGGAGCCCCTAGGGAGGCTCATGGCATGAAGAGCTTCGAAAGCTTGTGGGGTGTGTAGAGCCAGCACCTTTGAGGTGGGGTGGGAGAGGGCGGAGCAGGAAGTCCCACGGCTCCCAAGGAAGAGGCAGATGAGAAAACAGGAAGGAGGGAGGAGAAGGAGGAGGAAGGGAAGGAGGAAGATGAAGAGGAGGAGGAGGAAGAAAAAAGGTATGCAAAACAAGATGTGACTAAACACAGAGCAGAGAAAAAAGGAGAGGAAAAGAAAAAAGACCCCAGGAAGAAAATTCAGAGGATGAAGGAAAAGAGGGGGAAATAAAGACTCAGCGATCAGAACCAACAAAACCAAACCAAAAAACAGAGGGGAGCAAAGAACAGAGAGGGGCAGAGCCGTGAGACGCCCTCTGACTGCCGCTCACTTGATGACCAGCACACGGGTGGAGTGCACCAGGTCGGCTAGGTACGCAAGCAGGTTGACTCCTGTTAAGAGAGCCACAGCCAGCCGGCGATCCCAGCTACACACGGAGTGCGGGTGGCGGTAGGCACAGTACGAGTCCTTCAGCCGCCGGCTCTGGCCGCCGTAATTCTCATTAAACTGGTAGAGGGGCCAGATGATCATAGCGGTGGCATACATGAGGAAGGACAGGACGGCCACGAATGTCAGGAAGGTGGGGAAGGCGATGGGCAGCACGTTGGTGCAGTCCCCCAGGTTCAGCAGGATGGTGACAGCTGCCAGGATGAAGCAGATGGCATACACCGCCACACACCACTCCAGGGCCTCGTGACGCTGGTACAGGCCAGCGTTGCTGAGGAAAGCGAAGATGATACAGGCTACGAACGTCTCCAGCACCTTGAGGAGCCCGGGTATAGTGGCCATGTAGCCTGTGGACTTCCCTCGGGTCCAGGACACTTCAGTGGCATAAGCCAGGAAGGCGATGCAGGAGAAGGTGCAGGCGACGATGGCGTGGTTGCGGGTGCTGCCCTCGGACATGAACTGCACGTAGGTGGTGGGGTAGATGATGGAGGACGAGAGGCAGAAGAGGGCAGCGTATAAGGCGTAGGTGATGGGGAAATTCTGCCACGACAGTGGGAACCGGGCCTGGCAGCCGCACACCTCCACGCAGAGGATGATGAACGTCACGACGAAGCAGAAGCACCAGGTGAACATGGACCAGTTGCCCATGGGCCCCATCCAGGCACCCACATGGGCCACGCATGAGAACGCCACGCAGGTGGACAGCAGCTGGAGCAGGCGAAGGAGGCCCAGAGGCTGGGTCAGTGTCTGAGTTGACATTGTCACCGCCATAGCCCCTGGAAAAGAAAACACACACAGCGTCGTCAGCCTGGCACCGGTAGCTCACGCCTGTCATCCTACCTACTCAGAAGGCTGAGATCTGAGGATCACGGTTCAAGGCCAGCTAGGGCAGGAAAGTCCCTGAGACGCTTATCTGCAATAAACCACCAGAAAACTGGAAGTGGCGCTATGGCTCAAATGGTAGAGCACTAGCCTTGAGCTGAAGAGCTGAGGGCCAGCACCCAGGCCCCGGAGTTCAAGTCCTATGACCGACCAAAAAAAAAAAAGACACAGTGACACTAGCACCCCGGGCAATACAGGAAACCATGACCCCAGTCTTTGCCTCTTGAAGAACTTGGGGCTCAAGATGTGAGATTTCCAGGAATAGGCTGGGTCTCCCAGATTCTGGGCTCATTCCATGTGGAAGTTTCCAGCCTCCTCCCCTCCTTCCAGCCACACCCACCAAGCAAGACCAGAACCTGTCAACCACACCGACCATTTCCTCTCCCACCCACTTTGGGCCCTCTGACCAAACTTCCTCCTTTGGCCCAAAGTGACCTATATATGTCCAGCTTCCACACATCCCAGACTCTAACTTCCTTGTGCTATGCTGTTACATCTGCTCGGAGCTGCGGATCTCCCGTCTGGAACTTTCCGGAAAACCAAATGTTCTTTCTTCACTACCTTCTGGAAAGTGGTCCAAATACTCACCACCGTGCTTTTTCTCCCACTCCTAGCTCAAGGCCAGGAATCTGCTTCCAGCCAAGATTTGGGTCTAAAAACGGCCCACCCCTCCCAGAATAGTGTACACACACACACACACACACACACACACACACACACACACACGGTTTTCCCCAAATTCTGGGCAACTCAGCTCCTCAAGTTGCTCCTATCGAGTGCCCTAGCCCCCTTCACTGAACTCTCTGGGCACACAAGATCAAAAAACCCAGGGAGAGCTAGGAATTCCAATTCCTTAAGAAAAACTCTAGCTGGTAGAGGGACGGGGCCACCCCCAGGCACCCTGCCCCCAGGGCCAAGGCCTGAGGATGCTGATTTCCTAATCTTTGTTTTAATTTGCTATAAATTGTAGCTGCCTGAGGGCAGACAGACTGGAAATTCCCCTTTTCCCCAGTTCAGGCCCACATCATCAATAAATTCAAGTCGCCATTTCCAGAGCCTGACCTCGTGGACAGCCATCAGGACGCTCCCTCAGACTCCAGGGAAACCAATCTCTTTTCTTCCCATGTCCAAATGCCACAGCTTTGGCCACATTGGGCTACGGGCCTCAAGAATGATGCCCAGATATCAGGTCCTCCTTTAGCCAGAATTTCTAATCTCCAGTGGACACACCTCAAAACACCAGGGGGTGGTTCTCTGCCAGGGAAACAACTTCCTCCTTCCCCAGGCCAGCACAGGGGCATACGGTAAGGCCCAAGCCAGGGTTGGACCCCTTCCTGCACCCCAAGACCCAGACCGCCTCCCAAGGACGCAGTGGCCAGCTCTTAAATGCTTCCTCCAACGGGTGGTGCAGGACAGGACCTCCACGAGGAGTTCCCCATTCCTCTCCTCTAGGTCACTGAGTCCAGGCCCCAGCCTCCTTCCTAACACCCAGGGGTCCGGTCCCGGCTACCTCCCTCAGAGCCCAACCCCACACTCACCGAGGAAGGAGGACGATCCGACTGGAGGAGGATGCGGTCACACACTGGGCACACCTGGCCCAAGCCCCTGGGGGGAGGAGAGGTGGTCAGCGTCCAGCTCCCAACTATCTTTTCCTTTGGAACCCTGGCGGCCTGCGGCCTCACGGGGGGCTCCGCAGACCAGCGAACCTCCGGGCTGGACCAGGACTGGACGCCGACACCCGGAGGGATCGGGCGGTGATCCCCAGAAAGCACCGCCCCTCTCCTCCCCGCCGACCAGATTGCAGGGCCCGCGAAGCAGAGGACAGGCCACGCCCACCGGGCCGGGGGCGGGCGGAGATTGTCACGCCCACAAGGCAGTGATTAGACAATACCCACCGGGGAAACTAGCCACGCCCACCTTGGGGGACATGTCAGATCCCGCCCATTAGGGAGAGGAGCTAACGCAATCAGGCCCCGCCCCGCCGGGGAAGCCACGGGGCGGCAACCAGGAGGCCCAGGGCCGGGGCTGCGGAGCGGCGTCCGGCCTGCCTGGCATCGTCGCGCCTTATAAGGGCTTGGAATCGGCGCAGCCGTCGTGTCCGCTAGGGGAGGCGGTGCGGTGGCCCCCCAGCCGTGGTCCACCCCGGAGACCGCCGGGACTCTGCCCAAGGACCGAGTAGAGGTGTGGTGGGAGGGTCAGGACGGGCGTCCCCTCCCCACCTCCTACGTGAGGGGGTGGAAACCTGGAAGCTATGGGTCCTGAGGGACTGGGTTAGGGGCGTGGTTCAAGCGGTGGAGCGCTAGCCCGCCTGCCGCGGGCGCGCAAACTCTGTCCCCAGTACGGAGAGGGGGAAAATGACGGCGGGCGTCCCAATATGATTTAGTAAGCGCCGTCGGCTCCCTCCTGTCACCCCAGCTGTTCGGGAGGCTGAGATCTGAGGCTCGAGATGCAAAGCCAGGGTGGGCAGGAAAGTGTGAGACTCTTATCTTCAACGAACCGCGCGCGCACGCGCACAGCCGAACGCGAGGTCAGTACCCAGGCCCTGAGCTGAAGCCTCCTCAGTACATTATAAATAATACATACATGTATTGATCATTGATTGACTGGAAGACCCGCGATCCCGGGTCTCAGGGCAGACCTGGGGAGGATCTCCCCTCACCCCCAGGCCTGAAACCGGGCTCTGAGCCCACAGAGAGCGGCCACTCCTCCCTAAGCCGGCTCTCTGGGACTCCACGCCGTCACCAGGGACCCGTTAGCGGACAGCCGCCCTGGGCCTCACCCCTGGCGCCCCGGGAAGCGGCTCAGGCAAAGAGGGAGAGGGAGGGAGAAGGCCAGCCGAGGAGGGGCCGCGGAGGACGGGGAGACACCCTGGGTGGGGGGAACTGGGCATCCCCCCACCACACACCCGGAACAGCTTCCAGCCGAGACCTGAGATCAGAGCTCAGGAATGCACAGCCGCAGACCAGCTCTGAGGACCAGCCCCGGCCACGCCACGCCCGGCACGCTCCGCGCCCGGCCACGCCCCCTGCCCCGCCTCTCCCGGCGCGCTGTGCTCCGGGCCACGCCCGAACCCATCCCTCCCTCCAGACTCCAGGGCGGCCCCCAGCCTCACACCCTGCTGCGGCCCACACCCGGAGCTGGACTCGGCTCCGCCACACATGGGGTTCCTGTTGAGTCTTCCCCCAGCTACAGTCAGGGGTCCTAACACCTCGTGCGCCAGATCACAGCCCCTTAGCCTGGACCTAGGCCTCCCCCCAGCCTCTCCCCTCAGACCCAGGGGTCCAGGCCCCAGCCTCCTCCCTCAGACCCCAGGGGTCCACACTCGGGTCCCAGTCTCCCAGAAGACCTGTGTGAGTTCAGCTCAGCATCTCCTAGAAGCTCGTCCAATGCCAGTGTTTCGACTGGAGGAGCCCAGAGGTTCTGACCTCACGCATTTCTCCCCGGAGACCAGGATCCTGCTTGCTCCTGTCGAGGTCTGGGATCCCCTCAGCCTCACCTCTTCAGCCAGCAGCGGAGGCGTCTGGACCAAGGGCGACAGCTGCAGACCAGAAGGGTCTGTGGGCTGGGTGGGGTTAGCGGACCCAAGAGCGCGCGCGGGCGGGGAGGGGGCGGGGCCTCTAGCAGGGCGGGGCCACTGGTGGAGGCGGGGCCTGCGTCCCGCTGAACGCTGAGACTGGAAAGGGACTTCCCCAAGTCCAGCTGTCCCCGCCCACTCGTGTGTCCGTGGCGCAAGCCACGCCCACCTGAGAATCCTTGCACCACTCAGCTCCCTCCCGGTGATGGGGAGGAAGGCTGAGGTCACTGTTGCCTTGGTGACAAAACAGGAAGACACAACAGCTGGCGGGGTTGGGGCCGGGGGCTCCCCCCGGGCCGGGCCGTTGCCGTGGAAACCCGCTTGCTGCCGGTGTGTTTACGCACGGGAGACCCCGAAGCCCGTGTCCCCACGCCCAGTTTCTCCCCCTGCCCCGCCGCCTCCCGGGTCGGCTCAGATCGTGCTCTCCTGAACTGGGTCCTGGACCCTCCGCGGGCGGAGCGGGGGTCTGCTCCCGGGTCCCGGGGTCCCTCGCGGGCGGGACTGGGGTCTGCTCCCGGATCCCGGGGTCCCCCGCGGGCGGGGCCGATGTCTGTTCCCGAGTCCCGGGCGCGCACACTTAGCTCCTTAGTTCCCCCAAAAAACACCCACGAAGAGGGCCCGAGTCGGGTTCTCGACACTGGTTCCGGGGTCCAGGTCAGGGCGCGGCGCTGGCACAGAGCCAGGTCCCGGCGGCAGCCGGGTGCGCACGGGTATTTTTGGCCTGCGACCCTGGCTGCCCTCCAGCTGGGACTGAGCTGGGGCAGAGCGGGGGCGG